TTCAGGAAGTCACACCTGGGGAATGACGGCTTAGCACTCATAAAATACAAATAGGCATCATGCTTTTTTAAAGAGCACTTAAAACAACAAGTGCATAGTGTATAGGACAGGGAACTACATTCAGTGTCTTGTAGTAACTTATGGTTAAAAAGAATATGAAAATGAATGTATGTACGTTCGTGTATGACTAAAGTACTGTGCTGTACACCAGAAACTGACACAACATTGTAAACTGACTACACTTCAAAAAACATGTATTTTAAAAAATAAAGAGCACTTAAATCTCAACTATATTTGCTACATATTTTGCCCTCAAGCAAAACTTAATTTGAAGAAAAAGACTAACAAAATAGTTCTTCATTATAAAGTTTCTTGACATCAAAACTCCAAAACAAATTAATTCAGTTGGCTAGACTGACCAACCCCCACCCAGACAGGGAAAAAAGTGGTTAAAGGGTGAGTACAGAGTTAATGGAAAAAGAAAAACAAGGGACACATGAACCCAAGAAGAGATGTCTCCACACTCATAGTAAAATAAATACCAGCTAAAATTTTAGAATGGCAAAATCCAAAAGCTTAATTGCTGAGCAAGACTATGGGAACAGAGGCATTCTCATACAACTGCTAGTAAAAGAGTAAATTGGTACAGATCCAATGGAAGTCAATTTGCCAACAGCTATCAAAATTCCAAATGTGCACACATCATAACCAGTTATTTGCTTGTGGGACTGTATCCTACAGAGACATATGAACATATGTAAAATAATGTAGAGATGAGTCACTATAACATTGCTTGTAACAGCAAAAGATTGATGTCCATCAACTGATGACATTATGCTACAATCATACAACAGAGTACTATGCAGCTATGAAGAAATAAAAAGAGGAGGGTTACCATCCCTCTTACAGAAGTATCTCCAAGTTACACTGTTAAATACAAAAAGTAAGATTCACTAACTACTGTATATAAAATAAACAGCAAAATCCTTGCATAGCACAGGGAACTATATTCAATACCCTGTAATAGCCTATAATGAAAACAAGTATGAAAAGGAATATATATACGTACAACTGAATCACTATGCCGTACACCAGAAATTAACACAACATTGTAAACTGACTATATTTCAATAAAAAAAATTTTTTAAAGCAAAATTCAGATAGCATGCATGATATGCTGTAACCTGTGGGCTGAAAGCAAAGTGTGTGGGAGGTATAAATATGTACATATGCATACTTACCTGGATATTCATATGGAAAATAGGGAAGCACAGAGAAAAGTGACAGCAGTGATTATGGGGAATGTGGATGATATGGGGTAGATGAGGGACAGAAGTGCAGACAGGGAGACAGTTTTCAGTGAGCAGAAGTTTGCACAACCTGAAGCATTTAAGTACTTTATGAGAAGGATAATATTTACACCTTAAAATATCTTATGCATTAAGTGAACCCAGCATGGCTGGTCTGCTTCCTTGGGAGACAATCCAAATGCCACACCGCCACAAGTGATGGTGCCACCTTGCTCTGTCACATAGCTCTGGCTTCACAAATGAACAGTCTGGGTGCAGAAGACTTACAGTCTATTCCAGCTCAGCAGTGGCATTAAGATAGCCTAAAATAAAATTGATTTCCTGCCATACGAAATTTAAGATTGTCCCTATATCCTCAGAGAAACTGATTTCTGCTCGCCTCCAATTCAACACACATTATAAACCCACCAATTACTCTGTACAGACACTGCTCTCCTAAGTGGAAAAAGCTCAAAACCTAAGCTTTTAGAGCAACCACACATCTTTTAAAAAGTGTATCAAGTATCCAATTAAAAAAAAAAACTCTGTAGTTCCTTAGAAAGCCTTGCTAGCATTTTATTTTTCCCCCTCAGTGTGGAGTTAAAACAAAAGTTTGGGAGGGAGGGTTTAGCTCAGGGGTAGAGTGAGCTCTCAGTTAGCATGCATGAGGTCCTGGCTTCAATCCCCGGTACCTCCATTTAAAAAAATAAATAAATAAACCTAATTATCTCCCTTGCTCCATCTCCCCCCAAAAATTGTCTTTTCTGACAATAATATTGGTGTGCACGCAGGCAGGCTAAAAAGATGATTCCTATTCTCCCCTGGAGGATTTGAAGAGGGAACTTGGAAAGAGATTTCTCTGAAAGTTGAGGCACTATTTTAAAAGGAGAGTAAAACAGAATGGGTAGATTCTTATTAAATTCCTAAGCTAGTCACACATAAACACCTCCAGTCTTGGTCAGCAGCTTCCTCCTCATTTACAGGGAAAAGCAGGAATAAAGTTGGCTTGACCAGCACGAGGATGTCATGTTTCCTGTCCACACCTCTTCCCTGCCCTACATCTGCTCCTACGCTCACATAAAGAGGGGGAAACTTCTGCGTAGCTGAGTAACTACGTGTTCCCAGAGCAGTGTTATGCATCCGGTGGCTTCTCGATAAATGTCTTTTGTGATGTTCCCTAGTATTGGAGGAACATTTATTTGGACCACCATCATCAAATATAATGTTTCACAGAGAAGAAAAATATACTCATGTGCAGTTTCTTCCAAACCTGGCTCAAACAGCAAAGACAACACCAAAAATCTTTCCTGGTCATTACATACATCAGGGAGTATATTTTTTCTGAGCTCATCCCATAGCTACCTTCTGCACAGGGTCCTTCCCCAGCCCTATCAGAAAATTCACTTGGTAGCAAGTGGTAATCTACAACTAGTCTAATAATACTTCTGTTTGAATCAAACTCAAAATTCTTAAGCTAAAAAATAACAGCAGTTCGGGAGGCTTTTCCCAAATAAGCTAACAACAAATCCACCAAGGTTAACTGCACAGGATAAATGCACAGGCTGCAGACGCTGCATTTTAATAGGTCATAAGACAAAAGCTTGTCAAACTCAATCAACTCCCCACACTATGATAAGGCCACCAAGCTGGAGCCTACACTGATCTCACGCTTTCAAATCCTCTTCTCCGTAAGCTTCGGAACACTGCAGTAGACAGGCATAAATATCTAGACCTTGTCTCAAAGTATGATTCATTTTTTAAGTTGTGGTCGTTAGCTCTTCTGCCATTTTAAAATATTTACAAAACTGCCAAAGAGTTATGTCAATGCATAGCGTGTATTCTTAAAATATGAGACTACATAAACGGACTGATTTTTCTAGCTTAGGTAAGCAGATCCAAATGTTGACGCCAGTCCTCTGGTTGGTCAGCAGAAGGTGCCGTAGACTGTTAGCATATGGACCCTCCACGCCTGGCGTGATAAAAGCAACTTTCCCCAGGCGGAAAAAGCTGTAACTACAATGGAATTACAGACATGCCATTTGGAAAGCTTAGAACCTTTTTTTTTTCCCCCAAGTATTTCTACTCTGAGCATTAGTTTAGTTCAAAACTACTTTACTTAGAAAAAGCTTCCAGTGACTACTTTTTAGGTGGTGCTGCCTAGGACAAGTTTCTACTTCAGCTAAATATATTTGTTTCTTTGGAGGTAAGATTCTTACAATTCAACATCTGTAAACATGATTTGGGAGAGGAGCCTGCTGTAGAATATGCTAGACATTCAAACCTTCGGAACCCAACAAAAATTTCAAGCCAAGAAAAAGTCAAAGTTTAAATTTTCCCTTTTCAACCTTGTGATCCAGCTATGATGTTAAACTGTATGTCATCAATATATCGTACAATGTGGGCGGGAACACTAGAAAGGCGATGTTGCACGGGGGAGGTGGGGGTCCTCTAAACGGCTGTCCAGATCATCAGTACCACCTCCAGTCATTTATTCTCTCGCCTGAGTTGCCAATAATTTGAGGAGACAATTCTTTGTTGAAACTAAAAATAGAAAACTTAAAACTTCACAAGTATACATACACCTCCCCCAAAATATTCAGTAATACTTCACTGGTATAAGAACATTCCCTGCAGTGACAACAGTAAAGAAGAAACTTAGGTCACCTGGCCATCACAATAGTACTGCTTTTCGTTTTGTTAGAAGGTAGCATCAAGGGGGAGGGTGTAGCTCAGTGGTAGAGAGCATGCTCAGAATATACAACATCCTGGGTTCAATCCCCAGTACCTCTGTTAAAAATAAATGAGTAAATAAATAAATAAACCAAATTACCTCCTCCACTTCCAAAAAATAAAAATGAAAAAATAAATTTAAAAAAGAAAGCAGCGTTAAAATAAGGTTCTTTCTGAAGGAAGGTTGCTAGACTGGTAAATCATATCAAGAAAAAGCATAAAGATGATTTTTCACAAGTCTGAATGTTCCAATCTGGGCAACATGGTAAGTTTTCACATTTCTTCAATGTGACAACAGATTAAATATTCAGTAGAAGATGTTGATACCTATTATTCAACTAATATTTACTTAGGGTGTGACAACATCAAAAAAAAAATACAACTCTTAAGAGCTATTAATGGTCACTACTCTGCAGATGCTAAAAAATATAAATTCAGATCTCTGCTAGACACAACCTCTTTTAATCAAATGAGTTAATTCATAAAATGCTTCATTTTAATGCTAATTAAATTGAGATCTATCATCCTTTAATGTTAAAAAAACTGTAAACTATTAACTTTACATAGTCCTCATGTGCTTTAGGAATAATTAACTCTGTATAGTGAAACAGCAGGACAAATATATAAAATCAACCAACTAGCTTCATTATTCTCATAGGTCAAACCTGAAAAGGCAATTAAGTTAATAACCTGACAAAATTCAGCCTAGAAAAATGCAAACAAATGGTCTAAAAATATATACGTACTTTTCACAGGGCTTGGTTCAAATATAGCTGAGCATATTCCCTTGCCAGAGAGTGTACGTACCCAGATTCCATCTACTCTACTCTGTCCACTAGTATTTTTCAAATGTTCAGTCCCCTAGATACTAATAGTCTCAGAGGCAAACTTTCTTCAAAAGCAAAAACAAGCAAGCATATACCACCAAACCCAACTGCTACAACAGAAACGTCCTTAAAATCTCCCCCTTGAAATACATACGCAGCTTTTGAAAAAGTACATGGAGCCCGCTGTCTGCAGTTCCCTGTCATTAGAAGACTGGAGAGCTGATGGAAATCCAGCTTCCAACAGCTTAATGAGCAAGACCGGCCCCACCCAGGCCAGACCCCGCCGGAGAAGGGCATGCTCAGTCGAAAAGCCCAGCTTGTTCCAAGTTACTTCATTCCTCAGCTAGAAAATCCACATGGGTCAAAGAAAAAAGTCATCTGCCTGCTGTCTGATCGACCCACTAAATGAAGAACACTTTAGGTAAAGAATGGTTTTAACAGCAAATTTTAATTCTATGATTATAATTTCCTATGATTCTACTGCTAGGGATTCTTTTCCTCATTTTTTGCATCATTTTGCATTGCTTTGAGTTTGCCCCCTTTGATTTTGATTTTACTTCTGTCATTTTAACCCACCCTACAAACAAGACACCAAAAGTATATGTATACAACATACAGCCTAATCACCTTTTTTTATAAATTGATACATACATTTTGATATAAAAAACCATGTAATGAAATAACCCAGTTTTTAATATATAAAAATGAAATATCTATTTTCATTCAAGTGTAAAGAATCTGCTATTCATTCCATTGTATTTCAAATGGAGGCTCATTGTAATCTAGATTTATAGGTATCATTGTATAGTTATAAAGCTGATAAATCCCCATTTTATTATTATACTGTCAATCCTAAATTGAGAAATGATGGATAACAAAAGGTAATTTTATATCCATCTGTCATATGAAAACAAATACATATGGAAGCAAGGTAAATTTAAAGTCACTAAAGGAAAATGCACTGATTTTAAGATTCAGGTCAGAGAGATCTGAGAAACAACGAGGCGTCCCTAATTCTACAATACCCCCACCCTATACATCTCCACAATTTAAATTCTGGTTGGTTTTTCTTCCAGTATAGATATTTACATTAACAAATCAGGACCAAGACAGGCAGACTCTGGATCCAGGAATGCATTTTTACAACTTCACCCTGCTTCCATACCACACGGCTCTCCTATCAAGCAGCTCTTAGGTCAGTGTTATATGCTCACACTCACCTACAGCAGTCTTTAAAAAAAAAAAAAATAAGAAAAAATAAGTTTTTTTAATTACAAAGAAAACAGTTTAGATATTTAAATAAATAAGGTATCACCTGTACCAACTGATAGAGAAAGGTAAGTTTCTCTCTACAGGAACTTACTGAAAATACGTTTCAGTAGCAGCTCCGAAGAGATTAATCTCTGTCAAAATGAACACAAAACTTAAAAAAAAAAAAACTCAATTCTATATAATGGAAGTAAACTTCACTATCCACCCACCACAAGGTTTGCACTGGTTCACAAAAGGGTGATTTGTTGAGTTTAGCAGAGACAATTTTATTCAATTCAAAGCATCATCTTTTATTCAGATGGTGTTCTTCCTATATTTTTTAAATGTTAAATGTATTTTTTAATAGAAACTGAAATACAGTGGCAGATTTACTTCAATACACTTACTTGGGAAAATACTGGCTCCATACCTTTTTCTAAAACATATTGCTCTATGGAATTCAGAAGTCTCAGAATTACTGACATGTGGCACTGGATCCAGTGAGGCTGACATTAGTAGATCTCTACAATCTATCACAGGCATCTCTCACTACCCCTGTACCTCCTGCCCTCTTAACTCCCCTTTCTTCTACAGACTGAACTGCAACCCCCAAAATTCATATGCTGAAGCACTAACCCCCCAAATGTGATAGTATCTGTAGATGGGATCTTTGGGAGATAATTAGATTTAGATGAGGTCATAGGGGTGGGGCCATGATGGAATCAGTGCCCTAAGAAGGGACACCAGACAGTTTGCTCATTCTTTCTCGCTCTCTCTCTTATTTCGCCATGTGAGGACTTCCGAAGCCGCCATCTACAAGCCAAGAAGGGAGTCTTCACCAGAAACTGACCATGCTGGCACTTTGATCTTGAACTTCCAGCCTCCAGAACTGAGAGAAAATAAACTTACTGTTTAAGCAACCCAGTATATGGTATTTTGTTACAGAATCCCAAGCTAATGCACATACTTTCTTACTTATGGAACCCAGTGCTACTGCTCAAGCTCCTCTGCTGGCTTTAATCCTGCTCATAAGACATCAGAATCTCACTGCTCAAACAGAGGGTAAGAGAATTAAGAGAGAAGGTGAGTTGTGTGGCTCTATGATTTGGGAAAAGAATAAACCATTACTATGGTGGATAAAAAGAGAAGTCAGAGAACTTAAATGAGTTTCCAAACTCATATACTCAATTAGTGGTGGAGCCAGAATGTATACCAATTTGGTCTGTCTTCAAAGCCCACATCAGTGCCATCAGTGGTATAGTGGTGAGCACAGCTGCTTTCAAAGCCAGTGCACTTTTCCACCAATGCTGCATTACCTCAGTTTTAATACCTGTTTTCCAGATGAGCAAACTAAACCCAAAGAAGTGAAATAACTTATATAAAATTACTCAGGGGGTACTGGCAAAGAAGTTACAAACTATGTCCAGTGTCATTTAAATTATTTCCAGTAAGATTTTAAGTACATTAAAGTGCACAAAATGCATAGGCTGAAACATCCACAAATGTCTTACTATTAAAAATTGTTTATATGAATTTATATCTATTACACCTGTCTTAGGAAGATCCTAAATAACCCTGTTTTGATACTGTTGTCCCATAAATACTGGAAATTAAAAGTTGATCCTCAGAATACTATTTTTTAAATATTCAAGGGAGCTGGTTGGGGTTAGGGTGGGGGACATTTTTCCTATATTTGAGTATGTGAGTTTATGTATACAACAGAATTAAACCCATTATCATAATTTCTTGACTTTTTAAAACTGTCCTACCTCCTGCCTTGGGGGAAAAGAATGGAACTGAATAAGATGTTGGATAGAATAATCTGACGGGTCACTCGTAGCTCCAAAATCGTAAGGGACACAAACTCTGCACAGAAAATAAAGTCCTCAGTGTTGCAGAAAGACAATCAGGAAGCTAGTTCCTTTCAGTTTTCCCACCTTTCTGCATCTAGCCTCCAAATGACAAGCAATCATCCTCTGTCAAACTAGGAAAAAAACAAACACAATTTTCTGGCATAACTCTAAAATAACCTAAAAAGTACTCCAAAAAAAAAACCCTGTTTTTGATTCCATTGATTTTACAGAGAATTCAACCTTCTTATATACCAATCATCAGGCAAGACTATCTTTCCTGAACAAACATGGAGAAGAGTTTTCTGACTCAATCTGGATGAACTTCAATTGGTCCATTAAATTTTTCTAACAGCCCACATTTTGTAGGATCATTGCTAACTCGTGTCAGCAAAATGAGAAGAAAAAAAAAGAACCAAACCAAACAAAAAACAAAACAAAAAAACCGCTACACTAGGTTCATGGCTTCTATGCCTAAGTTATCTTATGACCACACACCATCACAGTTTAACTTCTCTCAGGCTCTAAACCCAGAATAATCTGCACAACTACACATGAGTCATTCACAAAGTTTTTTTTTCCTACCACACCTCTAAAACCGTAACATTAGAAAGTACTACAAATTTATGAGACTCTGGGAAAGAAAAACTCTGTATGACCCCAGATTTTTACAGGGGATTTGGAGAGAGATTAGGAACAGGTAGAGGAGGGCAGAAAAAGAATAAAGGGGTAATGGTTGGGAATCTCTAAACAAAAAGTTAATGTTTTGAAGCCATCTAAAAAGCCTTAGGACAAAGCAATAACAAATCCTTTTTTTTTTAACTTCAAAAGTCAAAATCATCACTATTAGAATTACACATTCAAATCAGTACAGTAATCCAACATTTACTTTAAAATGTAGGATTTCCATTCCATTTACATCTAAGCAACATTTGCTAAGTTCCTCCTTTGCCCCAGACACTGTCTAAGCCCTTAGGAGTGGAAAGTTCTTCCCCACACCAGTCCTCAGGGACTTCACCGTCTAGCAGGGAAGACAGATACATAAGCAAATAATTACACCACATGTGATAAGGGCTGTAACAGAGGTACAGGAAGGACACAGCAAAGTGGACAAGTCCCTTGGGGAGGACAAGGAAGGCATTATAGGCTGACAATGTTTAGGCTCATTCCTCTTTCATTTTTGATGAACAAATGGTGCTACTAGTAACATGGTAACAACCTCTCCTTGCCTTAGAAACTAAGAGTCCTTATCACAAAGCCGATCAGGTGCAAAGCAGAAATCAAGACCTTGCTAGCACCTGTGCGACATTACATATGACACCTATATATGTTCTCACAGAACAAAGAAATAAAGGACCATGAAGAATCTCAGCATTTATATACCTCTAGTCCTTGCCTTTCACAGATGGGGAACATGAAGCCCAGAAGTTAGGTTACTTGTCCAGGTTACACAGAGAGTCAGTGGCAGGCCCCAGGCTGCATGTCAAATTCTGACAAGTAACTCCACTGCCTCCCCCATGGCAGACTGCCCTGCCTGGGTGTGAGAGGAAGGGGAGAGACACTGCTGAGGAGGCAACCGGAATAGAGACCCTTTTTATGGCTGGCCTAGGGCCAGAAGAAACAAAGAGCCCTGATGCTAGGCATCCAGCAGACCTCAGATGCTCCCCAGCTCTGCCTCTGGACCCAAGAAAAACTCGACACCTTCCCACTCCCCCAAAAATTATGCTTCCAAAATTAAGAGGTCACTGCCAAGAAATGATCCACTCTTCCCAATCTGAAATAACATTAAATTCATACACAGTCCAGATGTCTCCCCATGTTGTCACTTAGTTAAGTCTGTAAAATGAAGGTACCAGCAGATAAACTGCCATGTACCGGGATTTTTATGAGCATCACAGGAGAATCACCATGACAGCTGCCTGTTAAAGTACAAAATGCTAAATGAATGCAAATTACTATCAAACACAGAATTTCAAGCATCGAAAAATTCATCTAGGCTATCTCAAAATGGCTGCATGTATCATTACATTTATTTTTAAAAACCAAACATTAACATATAGTAATCTTCTACCATTTACTCGCTTTTTTCTTCAACTTGTGAAAGGAACACTGTTTCCCCACCCTAATCTACCCTTCATAATTTCCTTTGTTTTCTTTCTTCTCCTTTAAAATGGCCACTACTATTTCCAA